TCCTATCGCGTCTCCCACCACTGTTGCGTCTGATACATCGTCTGGCATAGGCAACAACGCCCCCCCCCCCTCTAATGCAATATCAACAGATACTTTCAAAAATCCAGCAGGGAGGGGTTTATGGTGAAGTAAGTCTCCCAAGGTGTTATGCACCTTTCCCTTGCCAACCATGCGATAAGTCGGCGACGATAAATATAGTCGACAAGGTGAAATGCCCTAAACAAATAATGATCAGTTAATATGTCAATTAAGAAAAATGTGCTAAATTAATTTCAATGTAATATATACAATTACCTCTGGAAGCTTCTGCGGACAACCGATACTATCTTTGTCACTAGTAGCTTTACCAGCCTCTGGAGCGCGCCTTTCGGACATGTATCTCTCCTTATCCTTCTGTAATTCACGAATTTGAGCTTTCATTTCCTCCAAAGTAGCCATCACTTCTTTATTGGTTGGATTTTTTTCCTTGGTTGCTTATACAGTTTGGATGGAGTGACACCAAATCCCTTGCCCCTCACACGCCCAGAGTACTCAGGAATATTCAACACCCGACTCAATAAACTCCTGCAATCATCGTCTTCAGCAGGAGTTATAGTCTGGGATAGGGACTCCTGAAATATAGATAAAAGCATATTTAAATATTTTATACACTTTGTTCAAACACTTTGTTCAAAAACTAATGTTGTACTTACACATTGTTCAAACACTTGTTGAACTTCTTCTTGGACGGCTTCATCTCTTCCCACCCGGGCAGCCTTCCATACGACATGGTCCGGAAGAGATGTCGCATCACTTTTCTCCTCTTCCAACTACGCATTAAGACGAACAATAAAGCATTATATCCTATTATGTATACTTACTATTTTTTGTAAATAGATCATATTAAAGCATATATATGCACTTACTAATTTTTGTTCTAAGCGTGCATATCCCAAACGCCCCTTTCTATATGGATACGCAGGGTTTGATGCTCGTTCCCGATTTACGCCACTCTTAACCTGAAAAAACAAGTTTAAGTCATATCAGTTTGTTTGTGGAATAGGTATATATACTATACATTGTTCATGATAAGTTGTACTTACTTCAAATTCTTTGGTTCTTCGCTTTGCAACAAATGTCTCCCATTCTGCATCCGAAATCAAATCAGCGTACTTCGCTGGACGCTCCGACTCTACAAAGTTGCCATCAGAATCTTTAAGATATTTGTTGGTTAAAAACGCTCTAAATCCCCTCAAGCGTTTTCCGGCCAACTGAATACAATATTTTCTCCTAGAATCCTCAATATTAAAAGATCTCTGCAAACAAATACACATACATATAACATGTTAGTATAATTAATTTAAAGATGTAACTGTCAACATAATTAAAAATGATCAAATCTCATACTTGAATCTCGGTCCAAATTTTATCCTTAGCCGCTTTTAATGCAGGAATTCTCCAGTTATCGCAAGTAATCGGAACTTGCGAACGTACAACTGCTCCAATATAACTTGTCAGCAGCGCACCATTAGGCTCAACCAACTGATCTCTTTCATTCCAATGGACATCGTACTTTACACCTCTATCTCTCGCACGGATGATACTTTTCATTATCGTTATGCCTCTTTTAATTTCGCCTTCAACGTCTTTAGGTGTTTCTTTTCCATCATGTGATGTTTCCTCGTTGCTGGCCATAATATACCTGTAATTCAGAATAACAACAACAACAACAAATATCAACAACAATAACAATAAATGTCATATTAAACAACAACAACAAACCATCTATATCAAATATAAACTATAACACAATATCATATATATCATATATCATATTAACTATATCAAATATAAACTATAACAAACCATCTATAAACCATCTATATCAAATATAAATCATCTATATCAAATATAAACTATAACACAAACCATCTATATCAAATATAAACTATATCAAATACAAACCATCTATATAAACTATAACAAATATAAACCATCTATATCAAATATAAACTATAACACAAACCATCTATATAACACAATATAAACCATCTATATCAAATATAAACTATATCAAATACAAACCATCTATATAAACTATAACAAATATAAACCATCTATATTAAATATAAACTATAACACAAACCATCTATATCAAATATAAACTATATCAAATACAAACCATCTATATAAACTATAACAAATATAAACCATCTATATCAAATATAAACTATATCAAATGCAAACCATCTATATAAACTATAACAAATATAAACCATCTATATCAAATATAAACTATAACACAAACCATCTATATAACACAATATAAACCATCTATATCAAATATAAACTATATCAAATACAAACCATCTATATAAACTATAACAAATATAAACCATCTATATTAAATATAAACTATAACACAAACCATCTATATAACACAAATATAAACCATCTATATCAACTATAACAAATACAAACCATCTATATAACACAATATAAACCATCTATATCAAATATAAACTATAACACAAACCATCTATATCAAATATAAACTATATCAAATACAAACCATTTATATAAACTATTTTACATCAACAACAACAACAATATCATATATATCTCATATATCATATTAACACAACAACAAATAACACAACAACAACAACAAAAACCATCATTGAAAAGATAAAAACCATCTATATCATCAGAACAACAATGGTGAAAAGATAAAAAAAACAAGAAAAGCAGAGTAAAGCTTCACGTACCGTAACAATGGTGGACCGGCAATGCAGACGGATGGATGAACTCAAAAACGGACGGTGAACGGTCGGTGATGGTCGGAAGGATGATCGGACGGAAGAAGTTGATGGTCGGACGATGAACAGTGGTTCGTTCGTTCGTTTTCGTTCGCCAGAGAAAGAAGAAATGTGTTGCGTGACTGTTCTGATTCTATTAAAATTCTGGAGGATATTTTAAAATTATAATATGAATACCTATAGCAGCGCTTTTAAAGGCCTTTAGCAGTGCTTTTACAAGCGCTTTCATAGGGTGCCTTATCAATTCCATATAGCAGCGCTTTATATAAAAAGCGCTTTCTAAGGGTCCCCCTTTAGCAGCGCTTTTGAAAAGCGCTTTCGTAGGCCCCCCCTTTAGCAGCGCTTTTTAAAAGCGCTTTCTTAGGCCCACCATTTAGCAGCGCTTTTTTAAAAGCGCTGTCTTTGGTAGGCGCTTTTTTTCTTTTTTTTTTTACTGGCCCTTTAGCAGCGCTTTTGTATAAAGCGATGTCTTTCTATGCGCTGCTAAAAGTGATTTCTGGCGTAGTGATTGTTGTAGGTAATGAAATATATTTCAACTTCTTTTATATTGAAAATTTTAATTAAAGCAATTTACAGTATATTTATTGAGATGATTATTCTTGTCATTTTTTTATCATATTTATTATTTATTGTTAATATAAGTATTTAAACCGAGACACAAATATTTAGGTTTTTATTTTATATTAATAACACAAATTTGCGATTTTTTTTTTAAAATAACAACTTTTTATAATTTAATTACCATTTAAACCTTATTTTCAAACAAATTCTCAAACTAACAATGTTTCAACTGAAGCCAAACGCATTCGCCAATCCAAACGGCGAATTGGTCAATCCAAACGGCGAATTAGTTGGAAAGGATGAACTAATTCGCCAATCCAAACGGCGAATTAGTTGGAAAGGATGAACTAATTCGCCAATCCAAACGGCGAATTGGCTGAAACTCATTTTCCATTTCTTCTCTTTCGCCAATCCAAATGGCGAATTGGCTGGAAATGTTTGTCATTTTGGAAATTTTTTTGAATTATTGATTATTGTGGTAATTTAAATTTAATATATGATTATTTTAAAAAAAAATTCCAAATTTGCAGTATTCTATTATTTATAATAATATTGGGTCGCATGGTGCGGTCTTATACCAGTTTATAAGAAAAGTAGTGTACATATTTAAGTGTAGATCATAAGAATGACATTTATCTAGAAATGAATTTAGTGTTTTGATATTCGGAATTACTTGCTTTGTTACTGTATTCTTAATGGAGCATCGTAAATTTTTAATTTATGAAAATGAAGCATTTAGTAGTTAAGTACATCCTTCCATTTCTATTATGAACCAAATTTTTTTAAAAATAATTTTTTTAAAAAAATTTATTAAATAAATGATATATTTAAATATTATTATATATCAAATACAATAAATTTTTTTAAAAAAATTATTACTTATAATAGTAACCGAGAGTAACCGAGACCGGCGTAATTTCTCAACTTTTTTTCATGTGGAAATCTGATTCTCGCCTTTTTTTTGTGTTGATTCTTACTTTTCTAAACTGTGTTGATTCTTACTTTTCTAAACTTTGTTGATACGTGGAATGTTATTCTGATATTGTTATACATGTAAGTCTCACCAGAATCTCAATTGTTAAATGCTCATTTGATGTGAAAATATTCTGACGCCCCCATTTTTTCAAAAAAAGAAAAAGTAAACAGATAAGTGAATAAGATTAATAATAAACAATAAAAAGAAAAGTAAATAAATAAGGTGCACAAAAAGCTTTAGAAGCTTGAAATTTTATTGTGATTTTAGTGTTGCATTAAATAGTATTATCCTTGTCGCACGAGATCGAAATTTAAACTCAACTTATGATACTGCATATTAGATTTGTCCTATTAATTAAGATAAAAATATGCATCACTTTTTATTAGTCTATTGTTGAATGTTCTTACCAAACTTTATTTTAATGGTTGTCATGATCTATTTTCTTGGCAAATTTTCAATACATACAGGGCCGACGATGCAGTAATGTTACAAGAAAAATTATTCTAATGGATTCAACTATGTATTAAAGTACGACTACTAGCATAAAGCATTCTACTAATAATACAAAACCAAAGACTGAGCAGATATCCGATAATATTTGTTGTTCAGTAGGTAAATGATGGATGAGACATGTGATCATCCACTCCAGAAGAGCTAAATGCGGTTCAGCAATACCTCAAAGTATCTTCAAGCTCCTTTTCATCAGCACAATTGTATCCCAGCAAATAAGCTCGTGCTGTCAAAATTGTACAAATGCGTCTTAGGGAGATGCATGTTCAACAGTAAGAACTAGTTCTAAAAGCAGGATGATCAAGAGCCAAAAGAAATGAGTTTACCGAAACGGCCGGATCCCATAAATGGTTCTTCCTCATCTGCTGCAACACCTTGTTGCTGCTCCTGAAATTTCAAATGAATGAGAATCTATCGGGAAGATAAGCTATAATTTTATCCAAAAGGAAGAAAGCTATATATAAAGATGTGTTTTTTCTTATGAGCAAATGTATATAAAGGATATGATCAACTTAATTCTGATAAATAAGCTTAGCATTGTTGAGATTATAATAGAAACTTTCCTCACAAGATAAACATGTGAATGCGTGTGTATTAATGTAAGTCATAAAACAATTTAAAACAGTTGCAAAATTAAGTTAAAAGATATTTAGACTTACAGAATCGGACTCCATTTCAGATGGCGATAATAATCTATCAAAACAGTGCCCTGATATTGTACAGACCAAAAGCCCGTCGGCGGGATCCATAAGTACTTCTTTACATGTTTCATCACAAACTAGAAATGAAAATAATCTCAAATCATTTATTAAGAAGAGTCATAGGCTTATGCCAGACCAAAAGATTTGAAATTCAATGTTGAAAATTGTAATCGAATTAAAGTATATAGATGATGTTTCTCACCATGAACTTGTCCGGTCTTCTCACAAATAAATACATCTCCAATTTGGTAGTATGAGCATGCCTTCCCAGAACAAGCATGGTCAATCACCACTGTATCACCGAGGCCCCTGCTGCTTTTCCATGATGAGACTTGATCAGCTAATGTTTTATCAAGAATTATGCTATCATCCTTCAACTTCACAAGCAGAAAAAAGGGAGAAAATGATAAATAGTTAAGAGACAGCTATTTTATAGAGTTATTATGAAGTATTTAGATTAAAAGAGATCATAATATTGAAGATACAGATAACAACATAACATAAGATAAATATTACCAAATCCCCATTGCAATGGGACTTTACAAGCAAAAACAAATATGCATTACTATAAAAACTTCAGCTCTATCCCTAACTCTAACCCCCAAATCCAATAACAAGAAATAAAAGCAAATAAGCATTTCATATTTTTCAGATTGCTGGAAAGATCTCAATATATCAATATAGAGTTCCATAATCCAGTGGTTTCTCACACTACCTGTGAAGGATGAGGTGCTTGACTTCTCTTAGCTGTTTGCATTTGAATATAGTACTCCTTAAATTCATTTTGGCAGCTTCTGACAAGTTCATCCATGTCCTTTTCATCACGCTGCATAATCATAGAACAAAAACCAAGATCCACACGAATTAACAAATCAAGTCTGAATAGTAATAACTCAAAATTCAGTTTACTGGAGAATAAAGACGAAATAAGCTTAACATCCTGGGTTAAGTAAGTATTTCAGTTAATATCACAAAGAAGAAAGAAGGAACCAAAAGAAAATAGGTATGAAAAAATGAGCATGTACCTGAATGTATAGCTTTTTCCATGGGCAGTCCCTTATCTTCCTCGTGGGGGGAATTAGGCCCCACCGCATACAATACCTGAACAAATTTTGAATATGGCAATAGGCACAGTCATGGTTCACACTTTTATAACCGTAAAAATCAAACCAAATAAGAACATATATAAAATTAATTAAGTAGCGGAGAACCCACGCCTCAAAGCCAAGCTGATAAGAGGCAAGCAACAGCTTCCACTTTAAACAGGACAGGCACTCCTGCGTCAACTAGAGCTTCAACACTAGCTAATTGACACAGATCCAAATTCCCAAATCAAACTATCCTATGCTGAATATCCAAAGATTATCAACAGAACTTGAAAATGTAAGGTAAACAAAATGTACTTACAGGCGACGCCACAATGCTTCATCAGATGCAGCATAACTTAGAAACTTACAGACTAAGGTACAAGAAATAAGGTCCTGCACCCATCGAAAAACTCTCAGTCAATTCAAATACCGAGGCAATCAGAAGAATCAAAGTCCATCTACATAGTGTGTGTTTGGTTCTACTTTGACGTGAAAATGAGTTGAACAATAAGTTTGAGTGTAAATCATGTTTTGAGCCAAAATCTACAAAAATCATAACTTCAAGCTAGAATCAACTCTAGACGAAAAATCAATTCCATTAAAGAACCCATAGAGGTAAATCTAAACATACATATAGTAAGCAACAATTAAAGGGATTTCTCTCTATTTGAAAGACAAATCCACAAAACCAAAGCAAAGAGGTAACCTCAGATGACAGAAATTTAAGGATGTGATGGAAAAGTTCTGGTGGGACTTTGCTGAAAGAACCAGTCTCAATCCTTCTCAGCAGCACGGCATTACTGACACCATAGTTCTTAGGCACAGATGATGAACCAGAACACTGTTTGGTACCCTGCTTAGTACTCTCAGCCTCTTCTATGCATTTTCTCTTTACTTTTGGTTCCTCCACATTCTCCTCTTCCTGCAAGAACAGTCCCACAAATTTTACTCATCAAGCCATAATTTCAAATATAACTACGGCAACAACCAAACTGTATCACATTAAATGGAATCGACTACATGATCAAACAGCGCCATAATGTCCTAGCAAATATCATACTTCTATCCAGCTCATTTTTCTCTTCCTGCAATAACAATTTGCCTACCCTCCATCTTATTTACACTCCTCGCTACAGAATCAACATGTCTTTTCTCTAGACCTCCAAACTGATTATTAGTAACTTGAGTCTCTTATATTAGTCTCCATTCAATCACTCTTTCTCATAACTTCGTGCTATGAGTCATAATTTTAATCTCCTGTAATTTGCACAATTTTGTATATCCCCTTGTTCATATAGATCAGAATTAAAGTGGTTTTTCCCCAATCATTCGGAATTTGTTTTGACCTCATATTTTCTTAAACGCAATTTTAAATAAACCTACGAAAATAATGAGCAATTTCTGTCTGGATCCCAAATCAAAACCCTAATTTATAATCTAACAGAAATAAATCATGAATTACAAAAAAAACGTTGAAAATGAATCCTCAATAATTGGAATACCTTGTCAGATGCCTCGGAGAGGACTTCTGATTCAAGAAACTGAGCTAGATATTCGTCTTCGTCTTCGGAAAATGTCATGGTATCATAGAAACCCTAGGAAGGGAGAGGATGAGTAGAATTGTAGAAATTGTTAGGAAACGAAGAGAGAATGCTCCGGTCGCCGGAATTTGTAGAATCGCAGCGAAACGGGAAGAGGGTAGATGATGGAGATGATGATTCGGTGCGAAATGGAATGAACGGTTGGATGCTTTTCGGATCGACCCGACCCGTTCTGTCCAATTCTCAAGGGCACTAGGAGAGAATAACTATGTTTGGATATTTTTGTTCTCTAAGTTAAAAAATCATTTCTAACAATTTTAAGAGTCTTTGTTCCAAAAATTTTAAAAATAATTATGTTAAAAAATAATTTTAAAAAAAAATGAGAATCTGATCCAATTAACTTTGAAAATATTATTCTACCATAGATAAGAGAGAAAATGAAAATATAAAAACACGGAAAGTTACATCCATACTAAAGTAACAAAGTTACTCTTACAAACTTTTGAAAATTCCAAAAATACTCTTCTAGAATTTAACTTCATTTTGTTCAGAATCTCAATTTCAACTTTGTGAACAGTGATTCTTCTTCCTCTCTGTTTCAATGGCGGCATGAGCAGTGTCATCTTCTTCTTTTTTGTGTCAGGTAAAAATCATCATGTATCTTCTCCTTCTTTAATGTTATCTGAGATTTTCAATATTTTTATTTCTCATTTTTTATTAAAGGTAGTGATTCTTTTGTTAAATTTGTGATATAGGATTTTCAATTGATTTTGAAATTGAATTCTGGAACTTGAAGTTACTGTTAATTTATGTTACTTACTTTATGTATAATTACTAGTAAGAATTTGACTTTGATAAATCAACGTACCACTTGATTAGCACGCATTTTTTCTAAAATTCACATCTCAAAGACCTTAAAAAACCTTGATAACATACTTTCCTATCAATAGTATTAACCTTGACAAATCATGGATAAAATGCCCTTATAGTCACGACAAAACTAATAGATGTTTTAAGCAGTGTTTTAAAAATCGGATCGGTCATCGAACCGGTTAGAATATTGGGTCACTGGTTTATCGGTCAAACTACTGGGTCACTGGTCGAACCGCATAACTAAACCGGATTAAATCAGATAACTCGATTGAATAGACTTATCATTATATAGATATAAAATCGGCCGAACCGGATGATTCAGTTTCTAAAAAAATATAACTAGTACTTAAATTTTTTTAAAATATCATATCATAAATTCACAAATTCATAATTTAAATTCAAATTTTAAACAAATATATCACACATAACAAAATAATAGTACAAAATTACAAAATTTAATTGCAAATAAAGTCTAATTGCAATAACTTCCTCATCAATGATATCATTTATTGATTATTATAAAATAAGAGGTAACTATTTATAAGTAAAATATGATTCTCCTAAAAAGAAAACCTAATAAAATTCAATATGTTTATGTTATTTCACTTTCTCTTTCAACAAAATACATACCTTTTTCTATTGTTAATATTTTGACACTAAATATAATTCATTAAAAATTATAATTAATTAAAATTATTAGCAGCGACAAAACATAAAAAGATAAAATATATAACAATCTAAAAAGTTAAAATAATAAGGTAACTAATTTGTTACTAACCACAAAGTTACAAATTATTTAGGAAAATCTATTAGCAAAAATAACAAATAGCCAATAAAGTCTGTAATTTGTCACTAACGAAAAAATTTATGCGAGAATGCTATTTAAGTAATACTCTACTAAGTATATTAAAAAAAGTTATAAAAAAAACAATTAAACCGCCGGTTTTCCCGGTTCAATGGCGAGGTCGATCCGCCAATTGAACCAGGCCGGCTAGTGTCCCGGTTCCCGGTCCGACCGGTTGGTCCATTCCGATTTTTAAAACACTGGTTTTAAGGGATATTTGCTTTTTATCCATTTAAGAGATGCATACACAATTGATAAAATTTTGAACTCCATAACTATATTATGGACACTTAATATTTTATGATAATTTTGATTGGTTCCTGCAAGGTTTTGCTCAAGTTAAGGGGTTGAGTTTTAGAATTGTTAGTCAAGGTTAATAGTGAAATTCATGGTATGAACAATTTAAATGCATGAGCATGTTGTCTTGGATTGGATTAAGTTGCTTAGAAATGTTTGTTTGTTGATTGTTCTGTTCTTGAAGTGCCTCACGAGATTGAACTATTTTCTTATATTGTTTGTTGATTTTAAATTGCTTACTAAGCTTACAATGTAGCTTAAATTGCGTCATTCTATTGTAATTGTATCCTTTGAATTGTATTGAATTTTGATTAGTTATTGGTAAAGGTTGGAGGTTTGTCTAGAAGGTGGTTATCATGTTTTATTTTTTTAAACACACAATGATCAGCCTTGGTTATCTTGTACCCATGTTCAATCATAACTGAGTTAAACTTTTGATACCATTAACGATGTGCTTGTTTCAAACCATAAAAGACTATTTATCAATTTGCAAACATAGTATTCTTTTCCCTTCTTTCAGAATCCATTTGGTTGCTCCATGTAAATTTCTTCATGTAGATCATCATGAAGGAAAGTCGTCTTCACGTCCATTTACTCCACTTCCAAATCATGACTAGCGGCTAGCCCAAGAACCACTTGAATAGTTTTCATATTCAAAACTGGAGCAAAAAGCTCGCTGAAGACAACACATTTCTGTTGTTTAAAATCTTTTACCACAAAGCGAGTCTTTTATCTTCTTTGAGAAATACACTCATCTTACTAGATTCGATAAACCCATATATTCTTCAATGTTCTCTTACCCTTTGGCAACTTAACAAACTCAAAGGTATTATTCTTATGAAGTGATTGCATTTCATCCTCCATGGCATCCATCCACTCCTTTTTGTTCTCATACTCCAAAACTTCTTCAAAGCTTCTGGGTTCTCCACCATCGGTAAGAAAAACATACTCATTCGAGGGGCATCAAACTAAAGGTCTTTTATCATGAATAGACCGCCTCAACTCATTAGAAGCAATTGGTTGCTCAACACTTTCAACCTCTTGATCTACCTCATTTTCATCAACGTCTTCTGTACCACCTATAACAACAATATCATTAGAATTTAAAACATTATCAACATTCAAATAAATGCGTTGATTTTCAATTATAACTTCCGATCTCCTCTTTGGTTCGGATTGTAACACCCCAATTTTTAATAATTAATTATCTATATTAATTAATCGATTTATTGGAATTATTTTAATTATTTGAATTATTGGATAATTATTTATTTTGTTGGTGAGATGATTGATTTCTAGAATTAGTGAGTTAGGGTAGTGTGTGAATAGTAAGTGAATTGGGTTAGGCCCAATAACTTAAAGTTAAGGTTTTAGAGATGAGAAGTTAGTAAGAGGGGGAACAAGAAGAAAGAAAAGAGAATAGAAAACATAGAAGAGAAGAAGATGAGAAGAGAAAGACCAAGAGGAAAAGAAGAGTGGAAGAGAGAAATTCAGAGTTCAAGCATTCAAAGAATCAAGAATTATTCCCACAGAAAAACCTAAGTTAAGGGTGAGCATTCTCTCAATATTGGGATTGTGGGATAATGATTAATGGGTAGAAGATGTTTAGGGAAAACCCTAATGTGGAATTGTGTTTTAATGGTTAATGAGTAGGAGTTTATGTAGGAAAAACCCATATATCTCTCATGATTTGAGTGAATTTTTTATTGTTAAGAATGCCCTAACATGGAGGGATTGATTATGGTAGCAAAGAGGGGAATAGTTGGTGAAAATACACTTTTCTTCACAATTTTTCGTAAACACACAGTGAGCAATCGATTGCACTAAGATGTCAATCGATTGCACACTGAGAAAAGCTGCTGGAAGCTGAATTTTTAGCTGAGCAATCGATTGCACCTAGATGTCAATCGATTGCACAACAAACCAGTAGCTAAAATGCTGGAATTTTTAAAGGAGCAATCGATTGCACTAAGGTGTCAATCGATTGCACCATAAAAAGTAGCTAAAGTGATGAAATTTTCAAAGAACCAATCGATTGCACCCTAACTCCAATCGATTGCACTAGCTGAAACTTAGAAAATCATGTTTTTAGAGGGTTGATTACACAGAGTCTTTGGTTAATTAAACCTTAACAAAACATGGATCAATTGAGATGATTTATTGATTATTTACTTGAGTATTGATTGATTATAAACCTTCGGTTGGCGATTGAGATATCAATTGTTGTTTAACAAGTTGATTGTGTATTGAGTATTGAATTCAATGATTTGTAATGGATTGATTGCCTTATGTGTAATCGTTGAATTGTGATTGAATCTAATTGATTCTTGTGTGATGAATTATTTGAGAATGCATGGGATTAAGATGCGAGAACGGTCTTAAGTGCGTTTGGTTGTTGATTGCATACGCATCATTTGTTGTCAAGAGGCAATGCTTGCTAGTTTCGTGGAGACTAGTGACTTGTCCCAAACCTAAAAGGGTGAGTTTGAAAGCCTAGAGGACGGGCTTTCACATTGTTGTATGAAAGTATGCGCATGTGTATGACTTGTTGAATTGAGAGTTGTAAATGTGTGATTGATGAATGACATTGGTTGAGAAAAATTGAAGTGTGAGAATATTGGTGTTTGTGCTGACATGCTTTACATTATTCATTATCTTATGATTTCAATATTGATGTGAATTTTCACCCTTCTGCTGGAATGATGTCCTATACGACATCGTGCAGGTATCAAAGAGTAGAGTTGTTCGTAGTTGCGAAGTTGTTGTTGGTGCAGCCGTTTAGTATTTTAATTATGTTGGGTCGAGTCGTGCTCTGGTCATGTAACATTGAGATCGCTTGATTTATGTCTTAGAGATACATTATGTGCTCTACACTATGTTTTTATTTCATTGGAATATTATGATGTTGGCCTTAATGCCTAAGTGACGTTGAATTATGTGATGAACATGAATATTCTGTTAAGAGAATTATGATATAAAATGAATCGCTGCTACATGCAAAGTGAAATCTTGAAAAGCATGATTA